GCTCTTCCACAAGAGTCCAATGATTTAGCATGTTGCAAGGAAAATCTGCCTCAAATGTAGTCAGTGCAGTCTTCCCATAGTTTTCAAGGGTGTCAGGATCAAGGGTGCCTTGGTTTTAACATGCCAATGAACAGTAATACTCTGTAAGAACTCTCTTGAAAAGGTGTGGCTTGTCATTTCGGAGAACGTAATGAGAAATGAAGGCAAGCTATATGATTACTTCTGTAACTTTTGGTTGGAAAGGCATTACTTCCAAAAGCAAAATCCCCTGTTAATAGTTCTCAAGAATATCCTTTTCCCTTTTTTAACGCATCTACTACAAATTGATTAGAATCTCCAAAGTAAAAAATGGAATTCTTTACGTTCTTCAGCACACTTAGTACAGACAAAGCACAGAGCAGTATCATCAAAAACTGATAACCACTGGAGATGAGTCTGCTTGGACGCATCAAGCTGCACATATAAACGGGTCACTGTCAGTATGGATTGCATTTGGGGACTCTGGGTATCGGTTCAGGAACTTCTGCTTAAACACAATTTTTAACTCTGTTGGTCAAAGTTTCATTAATTTCTATACATTCTAGCCTCTGCTGTTCCCAAAACAGTATGTTCAGTGAATGAGAGCTCAGGTTGAAAAAGAAGAATTCATAGTTGAGTTTTTGCTCTTATCCTAATAAAAACTGGATATATTGAAGAAAGTGACCATGGGTATCCTGTATCATCTGTATAAATTGTACTATTTAAGTGTTGCATGTAAGCGCTCCAATCCCAACTGGATTTGTGACTTGGTAAAACACGTTTAGAACCTTATTTTGAATTGGGCCTTGACTCAGATTTTCTGCATCCTAAAATACAGACAGTTAATGTCAGACTAATTGAGTTGCTTGCAAGAAGACAACAAACAGCTGTTGTTGTTTTTCAAACTCGCAGCAGATGCAGAAAGATGAGTTGATATATTGGTGCAAAATTGCTCTTGTATAATTGAAGAAAATTGCTTATATGTAACCAGAAAGTACTGAAGTGATACGAGAATATATAAACATCTAAATACGAAATACCTTGTTCATTTAGTAAAAAAATCCAGAGAAAATGTGATATCAGTGAAACTGTCTTAAATGACCAATAAAAATATGCTGCTTAAATTAAGTATCTTATCAGAATTATTTCTAAGAGAAAATAAGCATGACTGTACTAAGTATGCTTAGGGATAAATACTAGGCTTAAGAGAGAGAGAGCTTCCTCAACCTTTGTGTTGTTGTTTAAGCTTAATTGTATCAGGTTTTTTTCATGCTAACTATGTTGTGTGCTGCTGAATATCTTCTAATCAGTCTTTTTAATCTTCCTGTAGCGCAGGACTGTGGCTGTGACCCAAATATTGAGAATGAGCATGGTTATGAAACGGATGAGAACTAAAAGGGGAAAAAAAAAATCTTGTCAGCATAAACCCAAAAAACCCAACTGCTGTCATTTTCAGAAGACACGTTGTTTTGTAAACCTTCTTCACTGGTGTACAAACAGGCTGGTTCCCATTCTGCAACTCTTTTCAGTCATTAGTTTAAGTTACCGCGTTCAGGAGCCCAGAAATTCTCAAAGTAAATATAGCAGAGAAGACCATTTAGCACTTGCGAGTGATATCTGAAAATAATACACTACAATACCTCTAACTCCTTTGTGACAAAACCAGGAGAACAGTTCAAGTTTGAGTAGCCTCATATAAATTTATATTTACACTTAAAATTAAACTCGGAGCTGCAGCTCACATGTCCTTTATAGTTGCATGTGTTGTTTATAATAAAGGGATTATTCTCTACTGCCGTCTGTTAAGTTTAGACTTCAGGTAGACAACAAACACTTGTATCTGTCAGATTTTAATGAGAGGAAATCTGACAATTGAGAAAAAAGCAGTTTTTCAGTATCTTGATTAACTTTCAGGATTTTTTCAAACCAAAATAAGCATAGTATCTCTACCTGTGAGACCACAATTTGAAGTATAGGTATATCTAATATCCATTTGGTAAATGGAATATTCACAGAAATGTACGCAACACTTTGTTTCAGAAATACATGATATTTGACAGTTTCATACATGTGTACGAAACTAAGATGAACATGCCAAAGTGTTCAGTGTAAGAAGTTAACTGGAAACATTTTCCATTAGAGCAGCACAGTATCATTGTTTGCTGCCATCTCTTCCATGTTCCAAAGTGTATTGTGCTATATTTTAAAAATCAGCCTTAACCAGAGCCAGCTTTACTTTCAAGAGCCAGCTTTCTACTTTCATGGTGTTTTCCTCCCTTCCTTCCTCCCCTCAATATACCTCTCTTGCTTCTAATCAGCGTGTGTAGCTGTGGGTGAACTGGGCTTAACTGACCTGGGCTAAATTTCTGCATGTGCATTATGCCAATTTTTTGGTGATCCTGTTAACTGCATGGCCCCAAAACTCTTCCTCTGGCAAAGAGAAAGCAGCAAGGACAGGGTGAAAATGAGTGATTGAAAAGGGGACTTCCTTTTCCAGTGAAAGAGCCGCTTGAACTGCTTGTAAAACTAGAGCCTTATTGTGCTGCAGAGGACTGCTTAAAAAAAAATAAATCAATTCAAATGATGTTTCTGATGAAACACCAGTTTTGAACTAGAACAAGGATCCACCAAATAAAGTACAATGTCATTTTGTTACTGTTCTTACATCCACCAAGTCTTGATTTCAAACCGTTCACTGAAAAATCTGTTGCACTCCTTACCTCTTTCAGTTTTGTCAGGACAGTAAGAAGCTGTTAAATAAATTCGCTTTATAGTGAAATCAGCTGCAAGTTATGTATTTTAAGCCATTTTTTGTGAGTTTCTTACCAGCCTACCATTTCATTTTCAGCCTGCCATAAACTTTCTGAATGTTGAGTCTAAAACTATTCATACACTAAGCTGAACTTTAAATAGTTTTCTAGAAGAATTTTTTAATGCACAAACCCCACAATAAGAAAAGGTAACACTTATTATTTGAAAAGCTATCACTCAATTATTACAGATTTATTCTCAATTATTACAGATTTTTTAAGTTTTGTTTTACTAAATTTATTTATGTATTCATATATTAAAGATTCTTAATGCTTTATTCTGCTATTTCCACAATTAAGTTAATTTTGTAGTGCTTTTGCCTTCTGAAAAAAATAATAGCTTTTGGACCACTTGCAGGTTTTTTTGCTTTCTCCAGGTATTTGATTCCAGGTATTTGTAGTCCTGTGCTACTTTTTTAGCAGTAACTCCTTCCCTCACCGTGCTAAACCACCAGGTTCATGGTTTGTTCTTCTGAGACCAGGTAACTGCTTTTACAAAACAGCTAAAACCGACCATGGCAGCTATTACATTGGAAAGGTGGGCAATTCCATACTTTACTCACCTGCAAGATCATTCGTAGTCATTACAGTTGTAACTATTCTTGCTGTAAATTGAATGAATTCTGATTAATGGACTAGATACGACACGTTTATACCTTCAAAAAAGAGGATAATCTTGCATGAAAATATACATTGTATGGACGTTCCTACTTTTAGTGCATCCACTCTTCTCTATTTTAGCTTCAGAGATCAAGCTCTGAAAGCTGAGTGACACTGTATTAAGGGTCTTTTTTAATGAGAAAATCACTGATATAATTAGAATTTTTATATCTATATCTATCTATCTCACTAGATCGGATGTGGTCAGAGTTTACTGCTTCTCTTTCTGTTCAGCCCTCTGCTTCAGTAGTTGATACTGAGCTACACCCACAATCAAGTTAGCATGACTTAACCATTGTAAACATTCACATGCCTGCTTTTAGGCTTCTGCAAATACAAGGAATTCAGCTTTCCTTCCCACAGCAAATCTAAACATTAATTATTTCACATTTGCAGCAGACTAAAACCATTTACAAAGTTTATTGCCATTGTTCAATGAGCATACCACAACTTCTAATTATTGACTTAAAAACATTTGTTTCACAAGGAAATAGATCCAGCATCACTGTGTTTTACAGTAAGAATATTTTAAACAAGTTTTGTGAATATAACAAAGGCACTCCTGACAAATAGCTGTAGAAGAACTGTTCATGCAGACCACTAGGTAATTAGTACATGAACTGCACAAATCACTGTTCTTGGTACGTTCTTAAATTCTCTGTTGAGAAATGTATTTACATGTAGTCATAGAGTTAAAGGTATTTAGCATTAACTGTGTATTTATTCGTAGATGACTTTTCAGAATTAGCATTGTCTGACTGTCTAACTACAAAATTTAGCACCTTTTCATGCTGGATCACTAGTAATTTTATTAAATCCTAGAACACTGAAATC